GACCATGCTTAGGCTTGGGCGGGGGCTCCTCCTGGGCCAGGCTGGGGGAGGGGCCTGGAGAAGATGAAGTGGGGACCATAGGAGGGGAGAGGAACATCTGGGTGGGCTGACTTCCTGGGGCCTGGGGTAGGGAGACAGCCCCCAGAGAGCTAGCACTGACTCTGGGACAGATGCACAGAGAATTGCGGCGAGTCCTGAGCTCTGAAATACAGGAGAGGGGCTTTGAGCTCTGCTTGGGCAGTCAGACAGAGCCACAGGTGAGCTCACAGATTTCCCCCAGAGATACACAGCTACACACTCTGATGGGTACCACAAGCGGACACATACACTCAAACACAGGTTACACTGAATCTCCATGCATTCTTTCCTGAAGGAAAAGGACTATATCCAGGACTCTCAGTTGTAAGCAAGAGGAACCAAACCCAAACTGGCTTAAATAAAGAAAGGGGGGGGGGGAAGGGGGCGGGGGGAAGAAAGGGAATTTATTAGCTCATGTAACAGAAAAGTCCAGAAGTAGATTTTTTTTAACATGCTTCAGGCATGGCTAGATCCAGGTGCTCAACCATTGTCAGGAGGCTGCCCTCTTCTATCTCCTGACCTAACTTTCCTCTAAGTTGGCTTCATTCTCAGACTTACTCTCTGTGAGGTAGCAAGATGACTAACCATAGTTTTGGTCTTATAGCTACCTTCCTTAGCTACCTAACAGAAGGGATGTCTCTTTCCCAGTAATTCCCAGAAAAATCCTAGCCTCCTTGCTGAAACTCCCCAGGCTGTGTGTCCATCTTTAGACCTATCACTGTTGCTAGGGCAATGGAACATTGATTAGCAAGCCTTGGTCATGTGACCCACCCTCCCTACACCCAAGGCCTGAGTCACTCCACAAAGGCCTCAACGGGGGCCACATAATACAAGCCCTTCAGAGGGCCACTTGCCCCCTCTGTTTCCCTTCCAGTCCCCTTGCCAGGAGCTCCCAGCATGGCTGAGATAATCATAGCTAATATCTCTGTAGTGCTTACTGCATGCCAGTCCCCCTTCTACGTGATTTACATGCAGTAAGTCACAGCAAGTACGATTAGTACTATTATTGTTAGTCTCATTTTACAGATGAGGAAACTGAGGCAGAGAGGATTGAATAGCTTATCCCAAATCACATAACCCATGAGTAGTGTAGCTGGGATTCCAATCCATCCTCTTGGGCACCAAAGGCCAGGTTCCCAGCCATCATGTTCTGCTAGTTGTCAGTGGAAGAACCTCAGGAAGGAAGGAGCACTCTGAGCATGAGGATTATGGTCCAAGAAGCTTGGCCTCTAGGCCCCAGCAAATCCTGCTTTTGGAAAAAGATCTGAAAGAGTCCTTCAGTGGATCTCCTCTCTGGGAATTAGTATTTTCCTAGTAAAAAGAAGGGTGGGACTTCAGGTACAGGCCAGCTCCAGGAAGCAGGTGAGGCTCTCCTGCCCCCGCCCAAGATGTAGCATTAGGAGCAGAGTGATGCATCTGGAGAGGGGAAGGGAAAGTATTTGACATGTCTGGCTGGTGCCAGAAAGGGCAGCAGCCGACATAGCCTCATGCCATCTTTGAATGACCTGGCCCAGCTCTGACTCCTTTAACCCCCAAAACACCCCACAGGTGGGTGTTTGTCTACGAGAAGGGCTATCAGACCTCAGGTGGCCTCATCAGCAGCGTGTCTGTGAAACTCAAGGGTCTGGCCGTGACGAAGCTCCCAGGCCTGGGCCCCCAGGTCTGGGATGTAGCTGACTACGTCTTCCCAGCCCAGGTGAGCTGACTCAGGGGTACACCTTCCATCCTGGCTCAGAGTGGGGGCTGGGCTCTGTCTCCCTATTGGACTGGTCCAGCTCCTATCTCCCTCTGGGCTTCAGCTTCCCTAACTGTGAATGAGGGGCAAAAACAGGTTGTAATATCATCCCATTCTGACATCGTGGGGTATGGAGGCTGCTGGGTGTCACGTGGATTCTGGGAGATCGTTGGGGTAGTGCTTGTGTTCTCGGGGCTGTTCTCCCAACTCAGAACCCTGCCCTGCCCTCCCCTACTCCTCATCTCCAGGGGGACAGCTCCTTTGTGATCATGACCAATTTCATTGTGACCCCCCACCAGGCTCAAGGCTACTGTGCAGAGGTGAGGACTGCTACCCATCCCCTCTCCCCACTTCCTGGATCCACAGGGGAAAAGAAATGGAAGAGGAAGTCCCCTTGGGCATTGAAGATAGGCTTCCTCAGGGGGAAGCAATGGGGGAATTTCACGCACAGATTCACACAAAGTAACAGTCTGCTCTTGGCTGTGCTGAGGTTTCCCTCCCAGCTGTGTGTCAAGCAAGATGCTGAGCTTCGGTGCTCACCTAATCCCCAAGTCCTAACGTCTCTGCTCCCTGCCTGGTGACCCTGGCAAGAGCACAGCTGGGCATGAGCCCAGAGGGGTCCTGGGAGGGGACTGGGGGAAGGAAGCTGTAAGCAAAGGTCACCCCAAAGCTGTCTAAGACTGCCTCACGACTTCTCTAGGGTCCTGGGGGTGGGAGGGGCTCTCCTTAGGACACTACCCAAGGGGCCTGGAATCAGCTGCTCTCCCTTCCCCCAGCACCCAGAAGGGGGTACATGCTCAGATGACAGTGGCTGCACTCCAGGGAAGGCAGAAAGGAAGGCTCAAGGTAAGGTCGGCCTCCTCCCATTCCCCTGCACAGCCCTAGTTCAGCTCCAGGCTTTCTCCACCAGGAAGTCCTTCCTGCCATCCTAGCCTTGGCCTGCCCTGTCCCAGACCCAGCCACATTTCTGTCTTCAGGCTTCTGCTCTTGGGTGTCCCATCACTGGGGGCTCTTGGGGATGTGGGGCCTCCTCTCTATCCCCAGCTTGGAGTGGGCACCCACGGGCTCCTCCCTTGCTCCAGGCATCCGCACAGGCAAGTGTGTGGCCTTCAACGACACTGTGCAGACGTGTGAGATCTTTGGCTGGTGTCCTGTGGAGGTGGATGACAATGTCCCACGGTAATGCTTTATCCACCCAGGGAGCCGGGAGTAGGTTCCCCAGCCCAGACAAAGGGGCATCTGGATCCATGTTCTGGAAAGGATTTGTCCTCCCTTCTTCCAACCCCACCCTTACCCCACCTGTATGCCCCAAGCCAATGATCCTCCAGCCCCTGGTTAAGGGGCCCGAGAGTCCATCATTACAGCACACCCATCCCACTCCCCCCACCCCCCGCATGCCAGGGCCACAGGAAGATCCCATAGGTTCTCACACCCCGACACCCATGACAAAAGCTGCTGGGCACATGGGGGACTCCTGAGGAGGGGATGGTAAGTGAGTACAGTCTCCTCCAGTCCTGCCCTTCTCCAAGAGGCCGAGAACTTCACTCTCTTCATCAAGAACAGCATCAGCTTTCCACGCTTCAAGGTCAACAGGTTTGTGGGAAAAGGGGGCAGAAATGCAGGACCCCCCCACCCCACCCCAAGGCTACTCCAGCTGGTCTCAACTGTCTCTGTCACCTTCCATTCCTGCTGATTTCACTTTGAAGGCAGAATCCTGAGCTGGGCTCCTGGGGTGGGCTGCCTTTAGTCTCCAAGGGCTGTGGAAGGGGGGTTTATGGAGCTTCTGAGGGATCCCCAGAGCTTTGGGGTGTGGTGGGCACCCTCCCAGCTGGCATTCTGCTGCCCCCCGTGCCCTCCACCCCCATGTAGGCGCAACCTGGTGGAAGAGGTGGATGCGGCCTACATGAGGACCTGCCTCTATCACAAGATCTTGCACCCGCTGTGCCCTGTGTTCAAGCTGGGCTATGTGGTCCAAGAGTCAGGACAGAATTTTAGCACCCTGGCTGAGAAGGTATGGTGCCAGGCAAATGAGGAGGCCTGGGTCCTGGAACCAGCAGGTCAAAGAAGGCTTTTCAGTCCCAGATAACGCCCCCCTCAAGCCTCTCTGGTATGGGCTGAGTATATCTATGGATTTATTCCCTAATGCTGAGGGCTTCTGAAGCTCAGGCCTGAGTCCTCAGCAGGGCCTGGTATGGACCTGACACAGAGGAGGTGCCCAGAATGAATGGACATGGGCAGACATTTTCACCTGGATGTTTGCTGAGGTCACACTGTTTTTTTGTTTGTTTGTTTTTTGTTTTTTTTTTTTTAAAGATTTTATTTATTTATTTGACAGAGAGACGCAGCCAGAGAGGGAACACAAGCAGGGGGAGTGGGGGAGGGAGAAGCAGGCTTCCCGCTGAGCAGGGAGCCCGATGCGGGGCTCGATCCCAGGACCCTGGGATCATGACCTGAGCCAAAGGCAGACGCTTAACGACTGAGCCACCCAGGCGCCCCAAGGTCACACTGTTTTTTAAATATTGGATAAAAGCAGCTTGAATTCCATGCCATATGGCCCTGAAAAGTCCTGTGCCCTGCTCAGGAATCCTGAGAATTCCAGAATCTGGGATTTGTACACTCACCTGGGGTTCTGAGAGAAGCAGTACCTTGTAAGGAGCACAGACCTGTCTGTCTGGGTTCAAATCCCGGCTCTGCCCCTAATGAGCAATGCGGCCTCACACTAGTCCCTTACCTTGGGTGTGTCTGCCCCTAATGAGCAATGAGGCCTCACACTAGTCCCTTACCTTGGGTGTGTCTGCCCCTAATGAGCAATGCGGCCTCACACTAGTCCCTTACCTATACAGTGGGGACAGTAATAGTACCAGGCTCGCGGGGTTGTCCTGAAGATCAAGTGAGTTCATGCACCGGATGGCACTTCAGTACTGCCTGGCGTGCAGTGACCCTGTGACCATGTTCCCACATGATCATTATCTCCTACAGTTGCCTGTTTAGGGATGGAAATCAGCTTCTTCTCTGTGATATCACACATACACACAAAACTTGCTCACGACACATTTATCTAGAACAGGGATCAGCAAGTTTTAAAGTTTATCTTTAAAGGGCCGGAGATTAAGTATTTTCATCTTTGCAGGCCATATGGACTCTGTTCCAACCATTCAAGTCAGCTGCTATAGGGAAAAGCAGCCACAGAAAATACGAAACCAAGTTCGGCCCTTGGGCCTCAGTTTGCCAAACCCTGGAGGGGGGTTGCTCTGTAGCAACACACACAACCAGAAAGCTGAATGTTAGACTTCCCTGTTCCTAAAACCTCCCTGCCACCTGCACTAGGAACTTTCACCCTCACCATCATCCACAGACACTTGCATACCTACCTCCTGCCTAGTTGCCCAGCTCCACACATGCTCTGACCACTTCCCAACTCTCCTGTTGCTCAGCCTACCCCCACCTGTCCTGGTCCTCACCTGTTCAGAGGAGCTTCACTTTCTCAAGTTTTCTCTTCCTAGCCCAGGTCTTTACAGACTCACTCTTTAATGCAACACTATTTCCTTGCCTTCCACACTGTGACTTTCACTAGGAACTCAGGAGTCAGTGATAAATGAGACAGACAGCCCCACCCTCACGGAGTTTATAGTCTTAGAGGAGATGGGTTAGTAATCACACAAAATAAATAGACGATTTCAAAGTGACAAATGTTCCAGGAGAAAACAGCGACTAACAGGCACATGTTTTTAGTCTGGAGGTGGTCATTAGGGAAGGCCTCTCAGAGAAAGTGACCAAAGGATAAGAAAGAGCCAGCCTTGTGGAACTGGGGGAGCTGTATGTGCAAAGGCCCTGAGGTAGAAAGAACTTGATGTATTCTAGAAACCATCAGAAAGTTGGAGTGTGATGGGTGGGAGGTGGGGCCAGAGAGGGTGACAGGACCCCACCCTGCAGCAGCTTCTCAATGTCTCTTCTCAAACAAAAAAATGCTCCCCCCCCCTTCAAGGGCTGGCACCAGGGTAAGACAGGAGTTTCTTGATCCTGAAGCCCTGGGTTTTAAACACCTGTGTCCCTGCAGGGCGGGGTGGTCGGCATCACCATCGACTGGAACTGTGACCTGGACTGGCATGTGCGGCACTGCAAACCCATCTACGAGTTCCATGGACTGTATGGGGAGAAAAACCTGTCTCCAGGCTTCAATTTCAGGTGCCTGCCAGGACCCCACCAGTGCACCCTTCCTTGGGCTCCCGGAACCCCTTGAGGGGTTTTCTACTCCCAGAACCTCTTGGGGCCAAGTAAGTGTCCCCAGGAAGAAAGCAGAAGGAAGCTGGGCAGCTCCCATTCTCCTGGGTCTGGCCAAGCAGGGAGCCCTCAGGGAACAAGACCTTGGCAGCCTGAGCCCCCACCCTTTGAGGGCCACCTGGCCAGGACTGGCGGGGGAAATCCCTGACATCAGGAGTTAGGGTGAGGATTGAAGACAGCATTCCTGGAAGGGGGCCTGGGGTGCTGGGGGCATGGGACCGTCCTCATGGACCTCTGAGGCCTCCTGCTGAACTCCAAGAACACTGGACCCAGAACTGTTCTCCATCACCCTTTTCTGCAACCTCACCCTTTCCCCAAGGTTTGCCAGACACTTTGTGGAAAACGGGACCAACCACCGCCACCTCTTTAAGGTGTTTGGGATTCGCTTTGACATTCTGGTGGATGGCAAGGTGAGTGTCCAGTGTGAAGGACAGCCAGACACATTCTTAGTTCCTGTGAGTGCTTGTTGGGTGTCCATGGTTATAGACCACAGGAAGTTGACTAGGCTTCATTCTGCAGTTTTACTGCTAGTAACAGATGGGCCTGGGTACCCAGTGAGGGCAGGTCTTTCCAGCAGGTACCTTGCCTCCTCCACTACCTCCCTGCGTCCAGGGAAGCAGAGCCAAGGTCAAAACCCAGGGCTTCTAACCAGCAGCTGGGTCCCCGTGTAGAGCTACAGCTGTAAGGAGCAGGCTGTGGGGCCAGCTAATGGTGGGGGTAGAGGGGAGAAAGGGGGAGCTCCTTGCCCCGGGTCTAGCCCAGGGGTTTCTGAGGAAGGCCTTTTCCACCTGGCTCCTTCTGACTGTTAATCCTTCTCTTCCTGGGCCCTGCCACCAGGCTGGGAAGTTTGACATCATTCCCACAATGACGACCATTGGCTCTGGGATTGGCATCTTTGGGGTGGTAAGTGCTAGGGTCATGGGGTCACTGTAATAAGGTCAGTCCCTCCCCTTCCACATCTCAGTGGCAGCCATAGTCTCTTACCCCATCCTTACTGAGCCCACCCCACCACCCCAGACCCACAGTATGTCTAAAGAAACTGAGGCCCAGGGTTGGGGCAGGACAGAGGTGGGATGGGGTGGTCTTGATCTCCTGAGGGACCTGCAATGCCTCATCCCCCGCTTCCAGAACCTGAAATCTAGGTAGAGCAGGTTTGAGCCAAGCCCCCCAGCCAGAAAGGACTGATGTGGGATGTGGACGGTTCTGTCCCTGCCCCCAGATCCCCATGTTCTCTCTGCCCCTTCCCTGCCCTCAGGCCACGGTTCTCTGTGACCTGTTGCTGCTCCACATCCTGCCCAAAAGGCACTACTACAAGCAGAAGAAGTTCAAGTACGCGGAGCGCATGGGGCCAGGGGCGGTAAGAGAACTCCCCGAGTGTGGGCCTTTTGGAGGCCTTAGGCCTGCATGTCTGTGTTGGGGGGCCAGCTGCTTCCCTGCAGCTGACTTTTTATCCCCCTGCCCTGCTTACACAGGGTGAGCGTGACCCCGCAGCCACCAGCTCCACCCTGAGCCTGCAGGAGAACATGAAGGCATCCTGACCCTCAGCCCCTGCCTCCTGACTGGACACAGCATGAGGCTTCAGGCAGGGGCCCTGCTGGGGGCCCAGGACAGAACGGTCTCCGCAGGAGCTCTCCACGCTCTTAGCCAGGCAGACACTAGGCCTCGGCAGCCCAGAGGGGACACTGGGAGAGACCTGAGCAAGTCTGGGCTCCGGCCCCAACTCCACAACCCCCAGAGGGAGCTTCGCACCAGCCTCAGCCACTCCTGGTCTAGAGGGGCTGGGGCTGGGCAGGGCTCCTCTCACACCCCTCCGTCAGAGCTGTGTGCTTCTCTCTGGGCCCTCATGCACCGCACTGCCTCGTGTCTCCAGATTCATGCTTTCCCATATGGCAGACACTAGCCACGATGACCACTTAAATTTATATTAATTTAAACTGAATAAAATAAAAAAAATCAGTTCCTAAAACTAGCCACATTACAACTGCTAAATAGATACATGTGCCTAATGGCTGCCATATTGGACCACATGGACTATTGCAGAAAGTTCTACTGGACAGCTCTGCTTGAGCCCTGTTTCTTACTGGCCCCAGATTTTCCTAGGGAGCTTATCAACAGTGCAGGCACCCAGGTCTACCTCAGATCTCCTGAACTAGAATCTCTAGGGCTGGCCACAGATATGCAAGGATGGCAAACTCCCCAGGCCATTTCAAAGACTAAAGTTTAGGAACCATTCCCGATTGGGTATCAGATTTAGCCTGGGCCTGCCTGACCTGGCTGATGCAGGTTTTGAGTAGGTGTGTGGTATACCTACAAGTCACATGGTCTCACGTACACACCCCCATGTACATGAACACACTCATCGGCATGCACACCCCCCTCCCATCCACACTCTGGTTTGGAACAGCTTGGGCCCTGCAAACACAACCATCTGAATGTACCTCTGCCCTCAAGTACAGACACATGGTCCATGCCACAATACCTCCATGGAGATATGCTTCTCCCTAAGTGTGTCAGGCCAGGAAAGTCCCTTCAAGCCATGAATCCTCACTCAGCTACCTTGGGTTGGGTTGGAGCCCTGGCCAAATCCCGGGCTCCCTGCTTGTGGCCCAGCCTCAGCACCTAAGGCCTGCCCAATTCTGTCTGAACACAAGGTCTGGGGAAAGGGAGTGGTAGAGTACAATAAAAGGAGGACAAACTTCTGCCTTCTGTACTTTTTCCCACTTTTCCCCTCTGAAACTAGGTGTCCCCATCTGTGGAATGCGGGGCTGAGCTGAGAGATCTTTGAGGTCCTCTGGATCTCTTGGTAGACAGTGGTGAGTCGCCACTTAGGCCCTGAGCCCAGCAGGGTCAGTGCTGGAGATCAGCTCACCTCTGTCCATGGGCCACTGTACCCAAACATTGGAGCTCTTTCTGGTCCTCCATGTACCCCTCCCACAGCTTTGAGAGGCCTGGCACTCAGACAGCAGACACTCTCTGGAGCGGCCTCAGGAAAGCAGGAATAAGAATGGGGCTGGCTGCTCCAGGAGAGAGACCTGAGGGAATCTCAACGAGGGGAGGAAGGTCTTGAATGGAGATAGTGTGGAAGGATTTTCCAGGGGCCCTGCGGTGGGCAAGACCTGCAGTCTGGACCTATGGCCAGGCAGGGTCTCTGGGAACACCCCCATCACCACACTCTATCTAGACCAGTGCTGTCCAATAGCAATGATGGAAACATTCTCTATCTGTGCTTCCCAAAATAGTATTCACTAACCACACGTGGCCACTAAATACTTAAAATGTGTCTAGTGTAACCAAATAACTGAATTTTTAATCTTATTTACTTTTAATTAATTTAAATCACCACGCGCGGCTAGTGGCAGTAAGAAACGATACTGGACAGCACAGGCCAGCCCCCTCCCTGTCCTTCAGGCCCTTGACTTTCTGCCCTCTTCCCCAGCTAAGAACCATCCTTCAGATTTTACAGGACAGGAACTCCCTCTTCTTCCCTCCCTTTGTTCTTCAGTGCTGCCTGCTTTTGCACCTCCTGCCCCCTTCCTTCCTGAACGAGCCCAGGATTCTTCCTTTGTATCCAGCCCTTCTATCCAGCCCAGAGGCCTCCCAGCAGAGGCCGCCTCACCTCTCCAGTACCTGCATCTGCTCCTTCCGGCCCTCGTTCCTCTGCAGCTCTGCCTGCTCTACCTTCACTGCCAACATTCCAGAAAGACCTACACGTCTACACTTCCCTCGGCATCCCACCCTCTGCAGTTGGCCTCCAGCCCCCACCCCCACTTCTTCTAAATGCCCTTGTCAAGGTTACCGACAGTCCTTGCTGCCAAATCGAAGCAGACCCTTCAGCCCATAGCCTGCTTGGCCTGTCAGCCTCTGACACTGTTGACCAAGCCCTCCTCTGTGGAAAGATTTCCTTCCAGCAACTCCTAGGACCCACCCTCTCCTGATTTTCCAGCCAGACCAGTATACAGGGAAAAGACAAGTTTCAACCGCAGCTCTGCCAAGGGTCACTCTATGTCCTCAGGCAAGTTGCTGAACTCTCCAAGCTTCTCTGTGAGTCAGGGACAATAATAGGCTCTACTCAGATTGGGGTAAGGTAAGATCTGTAAAGTGCCTAGCCCAGAGCCTGGCATACCAGTAGCGCTCTGTCTCTCCATCCGGCCTCCCTTTCAATGGTGGAATCAGCTAGTTGTCCCTGGGTACCTCTTCTGTCCACGATGATGCAACCCTTGGTTCTTAGCTGGGTATGTGGCTGCCTAGCATAGAAACTGCATTTCCTGCCTCCTCTTGCGGCTGGGTCTGGTCATGTGACTAAGTTTTAGCTGATGGGATATATGTGGAAGTACCATGTGACACCTTTTGGGAACTTCCCATAAAAGAGAGCTGGTGCAGATCCTTTGCCCTCTTCTTCATCCTTGTCTTCATCCACTGCCTGGAATACATATGTGATGGCTAGAGCTCTAGCCACCACCCTGAACCATGAGGACAAGGGTCATAGATTGCTGGAGCAGTTAAGTGGAAAGAGCCACATCTGGAAGGTCTTTGTGGAGCAGAGCTGACCTACTGGCCTTGGTCTGTCTTCTCTGAGGCTCTTACGTGGGATTTCTGGTACCTGAGTCAAAATTGATCCTACGTGGTGCAGAAATCTTTCCTCCTTAAAACAAGTGTTCTGTCCTTGACCTCTGCTTTATTTGCTCTGAGTTATCTCACCCTTTCCCATGGCTATACTTACAATTATGGGTCTTTTCTGACAACTTCCAAAACTGTCTTTCTGGCCCAGCCCTCCTTCCTGAACTCTAGTCCCACATAATCCAACCTGAGTGCCATATCTAATTACTCATTAGACAAACATCTTTTGAGCACCTACGCTCATGATGTGTCAGACAGTATGTTGAGTGAATTAGAAACAGACCCTGTCCAGAGGGGGAACAGGCAAGTAAATGGATGCTAAGTACAAGGAAATCCCTAGGAGAGGCTGCTAACCCATGCTGGGCAGCGAGGAGGTCATAGGGAAGGACTCCTGGCAGAAGGGACATTGAACCAAGCCCTGAAAGGGGTGAGACAGGTAGGTGGTTAGGACTGAGATCATGGAGGACTTGTTTGGACCTATTCTTAGGATACTGATGAACCACAGAAGATTCCTAAGCAGGAGCTGACTAGTTAGACTTAGGTTTCTGAGAGATAGCTCTGGAGGCCCAGTGGAGAAAGGCCAGTAGGAGGAGTGAGACTGGATGGGGATGGGGCTGCCGCAGTAATCGGGGAACACAAAGAGGGTGGCCTGAGCTAAGAGAGAGGCAGAGAGCTGGAGAGAAATGAATGGATTCCAGCGATATTTAAGAGCCAGCATGAGCGGGGCTGGTTGGGGCTAGGATGACTCCTAGTTTTCTGGCTCCAGACTGAGACAGGGACACAAGAGGCCAGGTTTGGGGAGTGATATGGAGCTCTGTTTTGGGCAAGTGGTGGGGTGAGGTGCCAGAGGATTCACAAGTGAACTTAGCATAATTGAACCAAGAGCTGGTGAGCAATCCAGAGGACAGGTATGGGGATGGGCAGAGTCCCCAGGAATTGCCACCATAAAGGTCAGGACGTCCTGACCTCTGTCCCAGCTAGGCCATTCCTGCCTCCTGTTTTATAGAGCTCTTCCCCAAACATGAATCCGACTATGATCCCAGTGATAAACCCCTTCGCGTTTCCCCAACCCCGCCCCACCCCCCACCCCCACCCCCGGCAGAAGGCTAAACTCCCGAGTCTTACCATTCACGGCCTTTCTCCCTGGCACTCAGCCCCTGCCTCATCCTAGTCGCGGATCTCACTTTGCCCCCCTCCTAGTAGGCACCGCGCATCTCCAGACCCCCCCCGACCCCCCTCCCCCCGCCACCCGTGCGCCCTTGCCCCAGCCAGGCCCAGATGGGAGGAGACAAAGGGTTTTGGGGACTAAGCACTTGGACTCTCCAGGTCCGGCTAAAAGGCCCAGGCCGCGGTTTGGAGGGATTTGTAGGGAGGCCAGGTAGCCTTAACTGGGGCGTCGGGGGCGTGACGAGGTCCAGCCCCGCCGCAGGGGGAGGGGCCCCTCCTGAGCCACTGCGCGCCGTGGCCCCTCCCCTCCGGGAGCCGGGCGAGAGTCCCGGGCACTGATTGGGCGGCGCCGCGGGCCGCGCAGCACGACCAATGAACGCGGGCGGGGCGCGGCGGCGGGCGAGGGAGGGAGAGCTGTCTGGAGCCGCGGCGCGGGTGGTCTGAGCACTGCGATCCCAGCCCCGGGAGAGGCGGCTGGGGCGGGGCGCGAACCTCGGGAGCGAGCCTGGTCGCCCGCCCGGCCGGCCGCGGAGACCGTCGCCAGGCGCCGAGGTAGGGGTCGGTGGGGAGGGGACCTGGGGCGGGGAGCGGGAGGGGACGAACGCCTGAACGTCTGCTCGGAGCCTTGTAGGGAAGAGGGATGGTCTACGAGGCCGCGTCTAATGAGGGCTTCTGGGACCGCATTGGTGCGGGGATCCTCCCCCCTTTTGGGGGGCCGGATCTACGAGGTACCTCCCGGAGCCCGCTTCTGTCTGCGCCGGCAGCCTGAACCGCATCTATGCGGGCACTCCGTCATCTGCGTCGCTTCCCCAGCTCTAGTCTGCGGGGCTGCGTTCATACCCGGCGCACTACCCACCCCCGCCCCAGCCGTGGGTGGGAGGCCGTGTCTCTGCAGAGTGGGCCCAGACCTGTGCACCCACGTGTGGATCAGCGCGGAGTGCTCCTCCTACACGACTCTCCGCTGAGTCTTCCTGCAAAACCTGGGGAGAGGCGGGGGGAGGGGTTGTGGATGAATGGGACAGATGTGGCGTGTGGCTTTAGCTGCGCAGTCGTCCCCCTGGATGGGGCCGGGGTGGAGGGGTTGGAAGAAGCGGGCACTGCGGCTTCAGGGGCCTAACAGGCACGGAATTGGTGGCTCGAATGGTGCACACGTGCGCGGGGACCTGTGTGTGGTGTTTGGAGGTGGGTGTGCGTGTCACGTGGACACAGGAGTGTGCCTGTGTGTGTGAGGGGAGTGCGTGACTGGATGGAGTGGTGTGTGAGGGCCGATCACATGGACGTCGGCGTGCGACGTCGGTGTGCGCATCTCTGGGGGTATGTGTGTGTCTGGAGGGTGCAGAGGTGTGTAGAAAAGATTATGTCCCAGGTCCCAGGACTGTGCTTTTGTGGGTGCAGATGGGGCTGTGTATCTGCCAAGTGGGCCAGGACATCAGGAGGATCACACAGCTTGTGTCCTTGAGGATGCACTGGCCCCCATACAGCCCTCACTCCTTCATGCAGCTGGTACAGATTGAGCACCCACTGTGTGTCAGACCACGTCCTAGGCTCACAGACTCTGGGGACCCTTGCCTCCTCCTTGGTCTCTCACCCTCAGTCCCCACAGCAGGCAGGGGGATCATTTAAACCTCATCCAACTGGGTCATTGCCCTGCTCAGAACCATCCTCTGGCTTTTGAGGCCTCCTGGCCTCTGTCCACAAACCCCTCCAAAGCCAAGCCCTGAGTCCCAGCCTGAAAATGGCTGTCTGTCATGCACAGTGAGAACTTCCATCCTCTCCCCTCTGAAATCCTTACTCAGTGGTCACGAAAGAGCTTACATACCACCTCCTCCAGGAAGCCTTCCCTTGGGCCAGGCACAGCAAATGGCTGGGCCTTCTCATCCAGGTGTAACTCTGCTTGCCTGGGTACCTCTCACGTGCA